TGTGCTCACTTTGTACCAATTGGTTAGTATATTATTCTCAAGCCTCCCCAGGAAAGGCGGTGAAGGGACTTGGGGGAATATTTTGGGGAAATAGGGCTCCAAGTGACCCTTCCCTGAATGTTTGTTTAAATCACTTGGTGGTGGCAGCAATACCGTCCAAGGACAAGGAAAGGAATTTGTGCCTTGGGGAAGTTTTTAACCTAAGCTGGTAGAATATAAGCTTAGGAGGTCTTTCATGCTGGTCCCCACATCTGTACCCCAGAGTTCAGATTGGGGAGGGAACCCTGACAGCAGTCTATGATGATTATCCCATTCCCATACTGCTGGGGGAAGACTTGGCCAACCATGTGAAGCTAGCCAAGAGGGTGGGAATGGTCACCCACAGCCAGGCTAAGCAAGCCTCCACACCTATCCCTGTTCCTGAGCTATCTACAAGGGCCCTGTCTGTGTTACCAGAGACCCAGACTAAGGTGGTGGAACTGGATCCCCTGCCACCAACTGCAACAGCAGTAGTGAATCCAGTCCCAGAGACCCAACCAGAACCAGTGCCAGAACCAGAACGGGCAGAGCAACCAGTACCAGAACCATTGCCAGCACTGAATCCAGTGCTTGCAACCCCGTCTGCAACTCCAACACCAGAGGGAACCACTGAGACTGCACTAGCAGCAGCAGCTAAACCTGCACAAGAGGCTCAGCTGGAGCCTGAAATACAATATAGTGCACCAGCAGAGAGCGGTTCACAGTCAGCGGAAACAATCCCATCACCTACATTGCTTCCAGAGGGACCAAGCCCAAGTCCACAATCCAGTGATGAACTGATGTCTCCAGCATCAAGGAAACAGTTCCAGGCGAACAGGAAGCAGATGAAAGCCTCCAGGAAGCCTGGACGGCGGCACAGAGCAACCCACAACCTCTCAGCGCTTCTAATCAATCCCAGTTTGTTGTAGAAAGAGGACTTTTATACAAGGAAACTCTTTCTGGTGGGCACCAGGAGGACTGCATCCTCAAAGACAGTTGGTAGTTCCAACTAAGTACCGGGTAAAGCTCTTAAGCTTAGCCCACAATCACCCTAGTGGAGATGCTGGGGTGAACAGGACCAAAGACTGTTTGGGAAGGTCATTCCACTGAGAGGGAATGGACAAGGACGTTTCTACCTATGTCCGGTCTTGTGAGGTGTGCCAAAGAGTGGGAAAACCCCAAGACCAGGTCAAATCCCGTCTCCAGCCACTCCCCATAATTGAGGTTCCATTTCAGCGAGTAACTGTGAATATTCTGGGTCCTTTCCCAAAAAAGACACCCAAAGGAAAGAGTACATACTGACTTTCATGGATTTTGCCACCCGATGACCAGAAGCAGTAGCTCTAAGCAACTCCAGGGCTAAAAGTGTTTGCCAGGAATTAACAGACATTTTTGCCAGGGTAGGTTGGCCCTCCGACATCCTTATGGATTCGGGAACTAATTTCCTGGCAGGGACCATGAAAAGCCTTTGGGAAGCTGATGTAGTGAACCACTTGGTTGCCACCCTTTACCACCATCAAACGAATGGCCTGGTGGAGAAGTTTAATGGAACTTTGGGGGCCATGATACATAGATTTATAAATGAGCACTCCAATGATTGGGACCTAATGTTGCAGCATTGCTCTTTGCCTACAGGGCTGTACCACATCCCAGTTTGGGGTTTTCACCATTTGAGCTTGTGTATGGCCGCGATGTTAAGGGGCAATCACAGTTAGTGAAGCACCAATGGGAGAGGTTTACACCTTCTCCCAGAACTAACATTCTGGACTTTGTAAACAACCTACAAAAGACCCTCCGAAACTCTTTAGCCCTTGCTAGAGAAAACCTAAAAGATGCTCAGGAAGAGCAAAAGACCTGGTATGATAAACATGCCAGAGAGCATTCCTTCAAAGTAGGGGACCAGGTCATGGTCCAGGTGCTCCAGGCCTATAAGATGGAAACATCGTGGGAAGGGCCATTTACGGTCCAAGAGCACCGGGGAGCTGTTAACTATCTCATAGCATCCCCGAACTCAACCCTAAAACCTAAAGTGTACCATGTTAATTCTCTAAAGCTGTCAGTTTACAGCCCAGGGAGGAGATGACGCTGAGTGGCCTGAAGGTGTCTACTATGAAGGAAAAATTGACTGTGGCGTGGAAGAGGTGAACCTCTCCATGACCCTCGGACGTATGCAGCAACAGCAGATCAAGGAGCTGTGCACTAGCTTCATGACGATGTTCTCAGCCACCCCAGGATGGACTGAATGGGCATATCACTCCATTGACAGAGCTCCAGGGAGAAATCACAGCCAGTGTGGAACAGGCTGTCCAGCACCATCTGTGATTTGGGGGGGTGTCATAAACATAAAGGAAAGAGTAGCATAAAATCCCTCCTTGGCAGCTGTACTGAATCGCTTTACCTGTAAGGGGATAAGAAGCTGAAATAACCTGGTTGGCACCTGACCAGAAGGACCAATAAGGAAAGAAGATACTTTCAAATCTGGGTGAGGTGGGGGAGGTTTTGTTTGTTCTCTCTCTTTGTTGTTCTCCCTCCAGATGGAGAGAGATAGAGCAGGCAGGTACAACATCTCCTGAAAACATACCTGAAATGAGCCATCTAAGATTACAAAAATTGTAAGTAAGGCAAGGAAATGCGTTAGGTTATCTTTTGTTTTAGCTTGTGAATTTTCCCTATGCTAAGGGGTAGCTTTATTCCTGCTTTTGTAACTGTGAAGCTGAGTCCAGAGTCCTCTATGTTTTAAATCTTTTTATTACCCTGTAAAGTGACCTTCCATCCAGATTTTGCAGATGTGATTCTTTTACTTTTTTCTTTATAATAAAGTTCTTCTTTTAAGAACCTAATTGATTTTAGTGTCCTAAAGATAAAGGGTCTGGTCTGTACTTACATTGCTAAACAATTGGTTGATATATTATTCTCAAGCCTCCCCAGGAAAGGGGGTGAAGTGACTTAGGGAATATTTTGGGAGGATAGGGATTCCAAGTGACCCTGCCCCGAATTTTTGTGTAAATCACTTGGTGGTGGCAGCAATACCGTCCAAGGACAAGGAAAGAAATTTGTGCCTTGGGGAAGTTTTTAACCTAAGCTGGTAAAATATAAGCTTAGAGGGTCTTTCATGTGGGTCCCCACGTCTATGCCCCAGAGTTCAGAGGCGGGGAATCCAAACAACATCAATTACTTTTATATACAGTATATAAAGCTACCTCATCTACAGGAGCTGAAGAAGTCCTGCTCCACCCCTTTCTATAGCTTTGCACAAGGCAGGAATCTTTTGTCTCTCTGGGTCCTCACCCCTCCTTCTAAATGGAAAAGTACCAGATTTAAGATGGATTCCAGTATCAGGTGACATGATCACAGGTCCTGTGAGACCCCAGCCTCCATTCTTCCTGGGCTAGCCCACGCATACACAGGAAGGTTTGCAAGTAAACATAGCCATTTACAACCAATTATCCTAGTCAATGGGAACCATCAAGATTCTAAATCACCATTAATAGCCCGCACTTTGAATAATTACAATAGGACCTCAGAGTTATATTTGATATTTCTAGCTTCAGATGCAAGAATGATACATGCATGCAAATAGGATGAACACACAGTAGATTATAAACTTTGTACTGATACCTTACAAGAGACCTTTTGCATAAAGCACATTCCAGTAAAAAGTGATTTCATTAAATACAGAAAGTAGGATTTAAGTGGTTCCAAGTTGTGACAGTCAGAACAAAGTGAATTACCAAGTAAAATAAAATAAAACACGCAAGTCTGAGTCTAATACAGTAAGAAAACTAAATACAGACAAAATCTCACCCTCAGTGGTGTTCCAGTAGGCTTCCTTTTACAGACTAGTCTCCTTCTAGTCTGGGTCCAGCAATCACTCACACCCCTGTAGTTACTGTCCTTTCTTCCAGTTTCTTTCAGGTATTCTTGGGGGGTGGAGAGCCTATCTCTTGAGCCATCTGAAGACAAAAGGGAGGGGTTTCCTAGGGGTTTAAATAGACTCTCTCTCGTCGGTGGAGACCCACTCCACTCTCCTATGCAAAGTCCAGCTCCAAGATGGCAAGACACATGTCCATGCATGACTCAGTTTTTACAGGCAGCAGCCATTGTTTACATGCTACCCTGAACATCTTCAGGTAGACTTCATATGTGGAGTGGAGGCTTCCAAGATTCATTGTCCTTTAAGTTTTTCTTGATTGGGCACTTAATTTGCACTTAATTCCTTTCTCAAGAAGGTGACCAAATGCTTTACAAAAGCTACTTAGAAATCTAGCAAGTACACAGCCAATATTCATAACTTCAAATACAACAACGACACATGAATACAAATATGATGAATAAATTCAGTAGATCATAACCTTTACAGGGACATGTTACATGGCATATGTAGTATAAAACATATTCCAGTTATGTCATATATACATTCATAAGCATGTTTCCATAAAGTCTTATGGGGTGCAACGTCACAATATTCATAAGCCTACTTCCATAAAGCATATGGAATGCAACGTCATACCAGAATTCTTTCAACTTTTTTTACACATATTTTTGCCCAAATGATTAATGTATTTTATACCAAAGAGACTAAAGTAAACTGAAAAGCAAAACCAACAAAAAATAATAATAATCACATGAACAGAGGACATGTGGCTAAAACCAGATAAATTTTCAAAATTTATTTAATCTCATATTTTAAGATTCTCAAAGTGGTGTTTTCAAGGAAATTACACTGTTCTAAGTAACTGACAACTGATGTACTGTTTACATACTTCACTCCAATCTACAGTTTATTGTACTGCCACAACAAGCAATAGACTACATAGCACTACTGGAAGTCACTGGATGACACTATTGCAAAGTCTTGCTAGCTCTTATCTGAACATAGAAGAATTAGAATGTGGAGAAATGCTTATTGTCAGCTGTGATCCAGCTTTCTTAGATGCTGAGAAAATCACTGGTAAAGTCTGGTTCTATCTTGATGTGTCTCTCTATTAAATCACTTTTAGGCATAGCTGTTTCTTACCAGTTATACCCATGCAGCTAGACATATTAACAGGTACCCAAAAAATACACATACAGCCTCTATCTTATAGAAGTCACAACAGATCCATGTTAACATTTTG